CTGAAATATTTCAGTTAGTGTGCAATGAATCTAAAATATATGAATGTTAAATTTTCATCATGACATTATGGAAAATAATGAACTTTATCACAATATGCTAATATTTTGAGAAGGACCTGTATATCACGAGGTCAAAGCACCAGACTTGTAAATGGAAAACGCTTGTTTCCACATACAGTAGTTTGTCGTGGATGTTAGTAAACAAGAGATCCTGGGTTCAAATCCAAGCAGTGCCTTTCAGTTACACTGCTTGATTAATGTCATTGAAAGGGCTTTTTAAATGGCTGATAGGTTATGATGTCATACCACCAGATTTGTAAATAGAAAATCCTGCCTTCCACAAACAGTAGTGCCTTGTGGATGTTAGAAGAACTATTACCACTGGCGCTGTTTAATTCCTGTAGTAGTAGATTCCTTTGGGATGTCTCCTGAATTTTTGGAGAACTACCGGTTAGATGGAGGGTAGGTGCTGTGGCTTAGTTGGTCAAAGCACCTTTCTAGTAAACAGGAGATCCTGGGTTTAAATCCAAGCAGTGCCTTTCAGTTACACTGCTTGATTAATGCTATTGAAAGGGCTTTTCAAAGATACTTTATTGATCCCCGAGGGGAAATTAGAATTCCAGTACAACCCATCCAAAAGTAGAGGGAAAAAATCATATTTCACACTTTATCCTTAGCAGGATACAGTTTGAGATTGCAAAAAACCTCAGCAAGGTGGGGACGGGTCACCGAGGCTTTGCTGCCCATTCACAGGCACTGCCCTTTTTAAATGTGATTAAATGGCTGATAGGTTACGAGGTCATACCATCAGATTTGTAAATAGAAAATCCTGCATTCCACAAACAGTAGTGCCTTGTGGATGTTAGAAGAGCTATTACCACTGTTTAATTGCTGTAGTAATCGATTTCTTTGGCATGTCTCCTGAATTTTTGGCAAGCTACCGGTTAAGTAGAGAGTAGGCGCTGTGGCTTAGTTGGTCAAAGTACCTGTCTAGTAAACAGGAGATCCTGGGTTCAAATCCAAACAGTGCCTTTCAGTTACACTGCTTGATTAATGTCATTGAAAGGGATTTTTAAAAGTGATGAAATGGCTGATTGGTCATACCTTTTAAGCAAGTTGATTTTAAATGTTATCAACACAACTACAAGAAACTTTGTGCTGGTTTGGCTTTGCACTTGAACTTGTCAAGACTCAAGTCAATGCTGTATGCTTTTAAAAAGAACATGACAAGGCAGTTTGCTACAAAAACATGGTAGGTATACTAGGACATCGATCTCACGAGGTCAAAGCACCAGATTTGTAAATGGAAAATGCTTGTTTCCACATACAGTAGTGCGTCGTGGATGTTAGAAGAACTATTACCACTGTCTAATTCCTGTAGTAGTAGATTGCTTTGGGATGTCGCCTGAATTTTTGGAGAACTACCAGTTAGGTGGAGGGTAGGCGCTGTGGCTTAGTTGGTCAAAGTACCTGTCTAGTAAACAGGAGATCCTGGGTTCAAATCCCAGCAGTGCCTTTCAGTTGCGCTGCTTGATTAATGCTATTGAAAGGGCTTTTCAAAGATACTTTATTGATCCCCGAGGGGAAATTAGAATTCCAGTACAACCCATCCAAAAGTAGAGGGAAAAAATCATATTTCACACTTTATCCTTAGCAGGATACAGTTTGAGATTGCAAAAAACCTCAGCAAGGGGGGGACGGGTCACTGAGGCTTTGCTGCCCATTCACAGGCGCTGCCCTTTTTAAATGTGATTAAATGGCTGATAGGTTATGAAGTCATACCATCAGATTTGTAAATAGAAAGTTCCACAAACAGTAGTGCCTTGTGGATGTTAGAAGAGCTATTACCACTGGCACTGTTTAATTCCTGTAGTAGTAGATTCCTTTGGGATGTCTCCTGAATTTTTGGAGAACTACCGGTTAAATGGAGGGTAGGCGCTGTGGCTTAGTTGGTCAAAGTACCTGTCTAGTAAACATGAGATCCTGGGTTCAAATCCAAGCATTGCATTTCAGTTACACTTCTTGATTAATGTTGTTGAAAGGGCTTTTTAAAAGTGATGAAATGGCTGATTGGTCATGCCTTTTAAGCAAGTTGATTTTAAATGTTATCAACACAACTACAAGAAACTTTGTGCTGGTTTGGCTTTGCACTTGAACTTGTCAAGACTCAAGTCAATGCTGTATGCTTTTAAAAAGAACATGACAAGGCAGTTTGCTACAAAAACATGGTAGGTATACTAGGATATGTATCTCACGAGGTCAAAGCACCAGACTTGTAAATGGAAAATGCTTGTTTCCACATACAGTAGTGCGTCGTGGATGTTAGTAAGCCAAAGATCCTTGGTTCAAATCAAAGCAGTGCCTTTCAGTTACACTGCTTGATTAATGTCATTGAAAGAGCTTTTTAAATGTGATTAAATGGCTGATTGGTTACGAGGTCATACCATCAGATTTGTAAATAGAAAATCCAGCATTCCACAAACTGTAGTGCCTCATGGATGTTAGAAGAGCTATTTCTACTGTTTAGGCTTAATTCCTGTAGTAATCGATTTCTTTGGTATGTCTCCTGAATTTTTGGAGAGCTACCACTTAAATGGACAGGAGGTACTGTGGCTTAGTTGGAAAAAGTACCAGTCTCATAAACAGGCGATCCTGGGTTCAAATCCCAACAATATTCCTGCATTGAAAATACAACAAATGTTTTAAGACATAAAAACTAATTAAAACACATAGAAGGGGATTGTTTAAAGCAACTGATAAAAATGTGTAAAAGTATAGTTCTTACTTTAAAGT